TGGCAATAACAAGACACTTCATTATGACTGTGACCATTCAAGTTTTTATTGTTCTTGTTCTGCCTTAAACTGTTAATGTCAACTTGTCAACAGATTACATCAAAGAGTTGATGGAGGAGGTTGTAGTCAGAAGGCTACAATTCACAACCATCCAACAGGCTGAAGCAGCTCTTTTTGAGGAAATGGATGCTCCCCCTCCTTCCATTGCAAGTCAACTCCGCAGTGCCATGGGGAATTTTGACAGAGATGTTATCATCCATAACAATTGTCATAGATTTACGAGCTATGTCAGAAACGAGGGTACTTGAAACCAGTATATTGTTGTGATGGAAATTGTTTCCGTATGGCAGTCACAGCACATGATGGTATGACCTGTCGATTTTTTTTCCCTAGAACTTTCCATGTCCACCTAATGAAGCGACGATATGCTACAAGCCGATACTTCCTGAAGTGACAAAAATCGTTATCAAATTTCTTAAGTTTGAAGACACTGGTACATGTAGGCATATATACAAGTATTTGCAGTGTAATTTAAGTGCTACAAAATGGACTGTGGTCAAAATTTATTGCTAATCCATTACTTATTAATGAAATATAGGAATTAATTATTTAGTTAGGTATGCAATGTAGGGGTTTGATTAGTAATAGAGGGTACCAATGTTGTATATAATCTGTGAGACAAAGATGTTCATTTAAATTGTCATTTACATTATATACCTGTGAATGTCTTCTTGTCTTCCTGGGCCGTGTGTTTCAGCATATTCATAATAGGATGTTTCCAGGACATGCATGTTTAGACAATTCGCAATAAACCCTTCATGTTGGGTGATACAGCCTATGTCGGTCAACTTTTCTTCTAATATGCTCATGTCCTGACAGCATTTTCTTTCGTCCTCAGTGGACATATGGGAACACATGTTACAGGAACACCTGAAACGAAATGTATAGATTTATAGTGTAATATATTGTAAGATATCTTGAAAATGTTATTAAAGAACAAATTGTACATAAAGTAAAAAGTTATTATGCAGCCATCCATTGACTTTTTATTTATCATAATGCATTTGAGGTACTATAATGTTCTGATTAATAAATATAATCGTAAAATAATGAGCATGTGTTGTTTCTGCTGGAAAGTACATCGTTCACGTACTAAAATACTTGCAGGAAAGAGGTAAAATGTACAAACAGAAGAGTCAAAGTGAATGAAAATGTACACAACAGGAGAACGTAAACTGTTTGAAAAATTATATCAATACAAACTAATGAAGAAAAACAAATGATTTCATAAACATATTGATTTCATGACAATGTTAATGATCAGTAGACCTGTTGGTATATGAACAATAAACGGAAGAATGCCTTGCTTACCGGCGGATAAAGCGGTAAACAAATACGTATTTTTTCCGCTTTTGTTTTGACGATAGAAAAATTTTTAAAAAATTGAATACAGTTTATAGATGACATACAATTATCGAAATCTGAACAACAATATAGTCGTGTAGTTGCAATGAAAACTAACCATTCTCCGACCGGTTGATCGGAAGCCATGCTATCTACGTCATCCTCGTCACCTCTTATATGCAGTTCCTCGGAACAATCTGACGAATCTGAGTCGATATGATCGTCATTGTTCGATGTCTCAGGTTCATACATATATGGATGGATACATAGCGTGAATGAAACCTCTGGGATATCGTCACTGTCGCTACAATCGGAGTTATATACGTGCGCCATAGTCAAGTTTCGTTGGATCGGCGATTGTCACTTATGACGTCACAGCGGTTTCGAATTCACGGACGATAACTCGGGCAAGATTCTTTGATGCGATTTCAACCGAACATTTATTATTTCAACATTTCGAGAGAAACGACACACATATAACCTTTGAAAGTTATAAATATATTTAATTTAATAACCAGGGAACGTCATAAATAAGGAAATTTACAAAAACAAAAGTGCATTTCGTTCACCTTTAAATACCTTCGGATACCGCGGTGGGTACAGATACCATGAAAGATCATGTCTATACTGAACAAACCACCTGCTTTTATGGGGACAAGGTAGGATTGAAAATGTTCAGACAGTTAAAACAACATCGTTTTCTGACCAATAGTACGCGTTCAGCCCAAGCCAGGTGTCATCAGTCTCCTCATACTCAACGTGTTAATTGTATACCATCAGCCAAGCCTTTCATGCTTGTTAGGTCACCTGGGTAAATTTGTTTACTTAAGGTATTTACATGTGTTAGGGTCCCGCTCATTGTGGTTTCCTAATTATCAATGGATCAGACCACATCAAATGTTTCGTCGCAGTGACCAGTCAATTAATTTTTCTGTAGATTTTTTTTTAAATCTGATCTCCAAAAAGTACCTGCGCACCACGAAGGAACGACACGCAACTTCAAAACTATTACTACATATCGATATAGGACCTCGAGAGTCGTATGATGTTCCTGAAATACCTTGTCTTTTCGAACGCGGAACCTTCAGTTTTGCCATAACTTGTCCCAGGGGTACCGGGAGTGATAGTGAGAGTAACCTCTTCTGGAGTATCGAGGATGTATGGCCAGTTGAGTTGTTAAAACTGACATTCGATTGAAATAATACTATCAGTGCGACGTACATTCGTTACAGTCATCGTTTTCTTCATTTCCTGCCGACAATTTCCTATTCCACTTTTATCTACATACATCTAAAGCTGTTTGATGTTACTACAAGCTGCATGTACGTATAACCAGAGACGTATATATCACAGAGAAAGACGTCTTGATTAAGACGATAGAAATATGTGTTGACAAATTCAGCTGCCCTCGAGAAAACAATATGGCGATAAAATTAGCGTTACCTGTGATTCGGAACATATCTTAATCGACACTCCAGCTTATAGGCTTAATCCCGAAGGACTCCAAATAGGTGTGATATCTTTCTGTGTTGAGTGATAATTGGTTAGCGGACATTGTATCGTCACCGTGAAGTACCATTTACCTGTATTAATCATACACCACAGATCAGTATTGTCGTCACACTGGGAGCTAATTCATTATAAGGTAGGCTTATTGTTTCTATTTAATAGTGTTACGTTGCACATGTCTTTAAAAGTTTTCAATAGAATTTCAACGGGTCCAATATAGAAACCTCGTATACAGTACAACAAACCTGTTCGATGTTCATTAGCATTACTCAGAGACTACAGATCATCCTCACAATGTGGCAGCCATTTACTGTTTCATACATTAGCACAGTACATACGGTAACTTTACGATACGACTTAGCCAGAGGACAGAACCTTAAGACTTCATCACATAGCTAACGTTCAACTAGAGACCACAAGAGTGGCAGCGTCAAGTGAGGAACTAGGAAAAATAAGTCTCCAGTTTGATTGTCTGTAACGATCATGTTGTGGAGGCAGCAGGCACAGTTGTAATGAAAAAGGGGTAGTTATTTTGGGGTACACAGCTGCATACACTGTTGACAGACCCAAATACACGTATCCTAATATGCAATCGCGTTGGTTTTTTATGCCTCCGTATTGTTTCCCATTGTTTGTAGACCCAGGCTTACATTGTAGACACATATCTATTACCTCCTAATAGTTCATTGTGTTAGTGTAGTAAATGAATTAACTACATGTATATACATGTATTGCAAACACAGCGAGTTCTCGGAACGTCTTTCAGTGTTTTCTGTGTACGTACATGTTCGTTCATAGACGATATACACCGTGCCTTCAGTCAATGAATTAATTTCCGCGACGTAATTTCGATATTTTTAACATTATCTGCGGGACCTTATGTAGAATATTATATTGGTTTAATGATGACACTCTTTTCGTGTCACTTTTTTAATTGCCAACATTTATAGTACTTTTTGTGCTATCTGATTGGCCAACTGTTGAAGTGTCATGATTTTACCATTTCCTAGTTAGTTCACGGAAGTTGCGATAACCTGCTTGCAACTTTTTACGGATTGATTAGAATAACGACACGGTTGATTCAGGATATGCACGTGAAACACCATGAAATTTATTTAGTTATTGGGCTAGTGAGATTTCTCTTGACCATTTTTTCTCGTTCGCTTCCTCCATATTAAAGTCTCAACACTGTAGGTCCATATAGCATCAATATAAATATAAACTTTATTTCGAACCTCAGACGTCTAGGAGTAAGGCGAGTGCTTTACCATAGTGCCAGCCGACCCCCCCCCCCCCCCCCTCAGTGACATCAATGATGAGTCATAGAAAAAAACAAAATACAGACACCAGAATTTTAAGAATTAAGTGTATCCTTTTGCGAATGTTAGGTAGTAAAGGTTATAAGGTACTAGAGATGCGTTTCCCTCCTTTTCCGTGGTCGACGACATGTAATCTCTATATACCTATCACTTCCACATGGGACCGGGGTTTTCCACATGGGACCGGGGTTTTCCACATGGGACCGGGGTTTTTCATTGTGACGATTGAACTAGCACCAATGATACAAGGACTAGAACAGTTCTCAGTGAGACGGTAATTAGTGTTAGCTACTGCACTGTACCGCTATCGTCATGGACACGTTATATTGCACAAAAAACCAACATATTTTCCAGAGTGATGGTGAATAGTATAATTTATTACCACGTGCTAATTTAACCATAAAATATCAACTTTCATTATACCTAATCTTTGTGAATATCATAGATTTATTGGTATATCACAAACATGTTACATATTTCCCCATTCATATATGTGTATTAGCGTGTTCATGTACACATAGTACATGTATATAATAGCTTTTGTATCATATCTGAAAATGTTATTATTAAAGAAATGTACAAAGTTTGATTGAAATGCTCACTACCGTGTATGAAATACAACTGTTATTCATACAACAATATGTACTTCATTTATTCGGATGAGTTCTGTATTATAACACGATAAAAATAGAGATGTACTTATTTCAAGCTTGTCATGCTGTCATGTTGAAGTTATAGTTATTGTTTGAACATGTAGATCCAGCAACGATGGTGCGACGAACGCCGGCTATCATCGGATGCATCTTTACAGCACTTTGTGACGCCATCGTAGCAACACTGCTATTTGGACATTGTAACCAAATATACCACAGATTTTCCACAGCAACAGCTCAATTTTCCATCCTCGATTCCACATTTGAGCTATGGTGGTTTGGTTTGGTTCGTTGTTTCGTCCTCTTAGGATTAACGCTAGCGGTCTTGCGACATCCATTAGAAGCGATCACACGAATACAGAAGCTGGAAGAAGGCGCCGTTTGTTTTCTTATTTTGATGGGAATATATGACCTTGTAAAACTGTTAATACTGTCCGATGATTCACTGAAATTATATGACAAGTGGTTTTGGGCCCAGTTCTCGTGGTGTCTGATGGGATGCGTTCTATTCTATATACATTACTGTGCACTAGGAAAAATTAAACTGCTGACAAACGGAGTTCTTTTACAAAACGACTATGTACGAATTAACGATGATGAAAACGACACAGAGGAAAGGAAACCTCTTTTGTCTTCTTCGTCCTCTTCAAAAAGGAAGTCAGCATCAAACGACAGCGATGACGATGATAATGAAGACAGCGACGATGAGTCTTCAGAAGCCAGATCTATTGCCGAGAAGAGAGCGACAGTTCTGAGATTGTTCTCGTATTCCAAACCGGATCTAGGTTACATCATGGGGGCATTCATATTCTTGGTGATTGCGGCAGTTGGTAAGTCTAGTGAAGTCCATCATATCTACTAGAGTTTATCTTCACTGTGTGGTGACTGATTCGGAACATCGTAATACTATGGTGACTGATTCGGGACATCGTAATACCGCTTTTTTAATGGAACGCGATATTGCGAGACCATGATACGGCGAAGTGAGACTACGATACGGTGAAGAGAGACCGCGTAGCGAGACTGCGATACGGCGAAGCGAGACCACGATACGGCGAAGTGGGACTACGATACAGCGAAGTGAGACTACGATACGGCGAAGAGAGACCGCTATACGGCGTAGCGAGACCGCGTTACGGCGAAGCGTGACCGCGATACGGCGTAGCGAGACTGCGATACGGCGTAGCGAGACCGCGATACGGCAAAACATCAGAAATAGGTGGCATAATAATGCTTTATTATATGTACATCAATTGATCGTTTTCAATATTACAGTTGTTGAGCTATATCTCAACAGTAGATATTTCACGAGGGATATTTATTCGACATTAAGTATTACACGCGGGATATTTATTCGACATTAAGTATTACACGTAAGATATTTATTCGACATTAAGTATTACACGTAAGATATTTATTCGACATTAAGTATTACACGTAAGATATTTATTCGACATTAAGTATTACACGTAAGATATTTATTCGACATTAAGTATTACACGAGGGATATTTATTCGACATTAAGTATTACACGCGGGATATTTATTCGACATTAAGTATTACACGCGGGATATTTATTCGACATTAAGTATTACACGAGGGATATTTATTCGACATTAAGTATTACACGTAAGATATTTATTCGACATTAAGTATTACACGTAAGATATTTATTCGACATTAAGTATTACAAGTAAGATATTTATTCGACAATAAGTATTACGTGTAAGATATTTATTCGACATTAAGTATTACACGAGGGATATTTATTCGACATTAAGTATTACACGAGAGATATCTATTCGACGTTAAGTATTACACGAGGGATATTTATTCGACATTAAGTATTACACGAGGGATATTTATTCGACAATAAGTATTACATGTAAGATATTTATTCGACATTAAGTATTACACGAGGGATATTTATTCGACATTAAGTATTACACGAGAGATATCTATTCGACGTTAAGTATTACACGAGGGATATCTATTCGACATTAAGTATTACACGAGGGATATTTATTCGACAATAAGTATTACATGTAAGATATTTATTCGACATTAAGTATTACACGAGGGATATCTATTCGACAATAAGTATTACACGAGGTTATTTATTCGACATTAAGTATTACACGTAAGATATTTATTCGACATTAAGTATTACACGTAAGATATTTATTCGACATTAAGTATTACAAGTAAGATATTTATTCGACATTAAGTATTACACGTAAGATATTTATTCGACATTAAGTATTACACGTAAGATATTTATTCGACATTAAGTATTACAAGTAAGATATTTATTCGACATTAAGTATTACACGCGGGATATTTATTCGACATTAAGTATTACACGAGGGATATTTATTCGACATTAAGTATTACACGTAAGATATTTATTCGACATTAAGTATTACACGTAAGATATTTATTCGACATTAAGTATTACACGTAAGATATTTATTCGACATTAAGTATTACACGAGGGATATTTATTCGACATTAAGTATTACACGTAAGATATTTATTCGACAATAAGTATTACACGAGGGATATTTATTCGACATTAAGTATTACACGTAAGATATTTATTCGACAATAAGTATTACACGTAAGATATTTATTCGACAATAAGTATTACGTGTAAGATATTTATTCGACATTAAGTATTACATGTAATATATTTATTCGACAATAAGTATTACACGAGGGATATTTATTCGACATTAAGTATTACACGTAAGATATTTATTCGACATTAAGTATTACACGAGGGATATTTATTCGACATTAAGTATTACACGTAAAATATTTATTCGACAATAAGTATTACACGTAAGATATTTATTCGACATTAAGTATTACACGAGGGATATTTATTCGACATTAATTATTACACGTAAGATATTTATTCGACAATAAGTATTACACGTAAGATATTTATTCGACATTAAGTATTACATGTAATATATTTATTCGACAATAAGTATTACACGAGGGATATTTATTCGACAATAAGTATTACACGAGGTTATTTATTCGACATTAAGTATTACACGTAAGATAATTTTCGACAATAACTATAATAAGTGAGATATTTATTCTGTAATGAATAATGCGAATAAAATATTTATTCTACTGCATTTATTTCAAGTGATGTATCTATTCTACAACAACTTTAACAGATGAGATACATACTCTACTTAAACTTATACAGGTGAACTAATTATTCTATATTAAGTATTACAGGTGATACATTTATTATACAATAACTATTACAGGTGAGATATTTATTCCCTACTATACTGGACAGGTAGTGGATGGAATAGTGATTGACAAATCCAAGGCTAGATTTACACAAGCCATAATCTATGTGGTCGTCATCTCGACAGGAAGGTGGGTATTAACATGGATTCGTAAAGTACATTAAAGTTAGGACCAGTATTTCAACATACGTTCTTCATGTTCATTGTTATTATGTGCCAGTACATCGCTGGTTCTTAGTGGTCATGTTCAAGTGCAAAAATTTGTAAAGTTGTCATGTTCAGGGCCCTGATTTTTCATGCTATCCTTTATATTATACATTTTATTATCGGCCGTTCAGTAAATCACCTATATCAGATTAGTACTCTTGTTACTACAGTGCGATTGCCAGTGGTCTGAGAGGAGGTCTGTTTTCCGTCGCAATGGCTAGACTAAACGTTCGCATCAGGAATCTACTCTTCTCCAGTATCATTGATCAGGAAATTGGATTTTTCGATAGTGTCAAAACCGGTATGTAAACTCGAACTTTACCTCGGAAGTTCAAATTCATAAGCTATACAAGACAGCTGATACCATCCAAATATCACGTCGATTAAAGGTACATAACATGCTGCCTTACTTCTGCCAGTATTGGAAATATTAAAGATAGCATGTCCAAACTGAACGCAGACATTATTTATAAATTTTGGCAATATTTATGTATTTTGCAAGTATGTATCGGCAGCATTACGCCCAGACTCGTGTGTGACATTGTTGTTTTGTATTTTATGATGTAAAGGTGACATCACGTCCAGACTGACGTCCGACACCACGGTTATGAGTGATACGGTCACCCTGAACATTAACATCTTCCTGCGTAGTCTCATACAGGCAGTGGGTGTGATCGTGTTTATGGTGAAGCTGTCTTGGCGCATGAGCATACTATCTATTATTGTCCTTCCGCTTGTGTTTGGTGTTTCAAAGGTCTATGGCAAGTATTACAAGGTCAGTGTTAGGCTCATACTTGTTGCAAAAAAAGAAATGTTCACAAAAAATGATCAATGCAATTAACTACAGGAAAAATCAACCCACGTTTTACTCAGTGTTATGCACCCTGCTTTAAGTGAAATATATTTTGCAGACGCATTGAACCGAGTTGAATTTCCAACATGGAATGCTTATATACATCTACATGTTGGCTCCTTTATTTTACTGTAGAGACTCTCAAAGCAAGTTCAGAACCGGCTTGCCAAGGCCAATGAAGTAGCGGAAGAGGCGTTTACAAGCATGCGTACCGTGAGAAGCTTTGCCAATGAAAGTTACGAGAAATCTCGTTATTATTCTAATCTGATGCGCATGTATAAAGTGAAAAAGAAGCAGGCAGTGTTCTATGCTGGATACGTGTGGACGAACAAGGTATGTAAGTTATTCGTCAGTTCTCTCATTTGATAAATATTGTGGCATGTCGGTTCATATCTCTGTCCATTTTTATCTCGAAAAAGAAACCGGATTAAGTACTGAATAGAGTTTCTGCTGTTGTTGTAGTTGTTCGAGCTGATACTGACGGCATCGGTATTGTATTACGGCGGACATCTGGTGGTAAATGCTAAATTAAGTGGTGGTAATCTCGTCTCGTTCATCCTCTACCAATTGCAACTTGGAGAATGCATAGACGTAAGTTGGTTAAAACAGGAGAGATAATTATTTCTGTTTTCTGATGATGAACCATTGTCGACATCCTTAGCTTTGTACACCTTTTTGTGAAAGTGACAGGAGCATACCGTGTTCTCCTGTTCCCGTGTTCTTCTGTTCCGTGTTCTTCTTTTCCCGTGTTCTTCTTTTCCGTGTTCTTCTTTTCGCGTGTTCTTCTGTTCCGTGTTCTTCTGTTCCCGTGTACTTTTGTTCTGTGTTCTTCTGTTCCCGTGTTCTTCTTTTCCGTCTTCTTCTGTTCCTGTATGCTTCTTTTCCCTTTTTCTTCTGTTCCGTGTTCTTCTTATCGCGTGTTCTTCTTTTCCGTCTTCTTCTGTTCCTTTATGCTTCTTTTCCGTTTTCTTCTGTTCCTGTATGCTTTTTTCCCTTTTTCTTCTGTTTCGTGTTCTTCTTTTCGCGTGTTCTTCTGTTCCGTGTTTTTCTGTCCCGTGTTCTTCTGTTCCCATGTTCATCTGTTCCGTGTTCTTCTTTTCGCATGTTTTTCTTTTCGCGTGTTCTTCTGTTCCCGTGTTCTTCTGTTCCGTGTACTTTTGTTCTGTGTTCTTCTGTTCCCTTTTTCATCTGTTCCTGTGTTCTTCTGTTCCTTGTTCTTTTCGCGTGTTCTTCTGTTCCCGTATTCTTCTGTTCCGTGTTATTCTTTTCGCGTGTTCTTCTGTTCCCGTGTTCTTCTGTTCCGTGTTCTTCTGTTCCGTGTTCTTCTGTTCCCGTGTTCTTCTGTTCCGTGTTCTTCTGTTCCCGTGTTCTTCTGTTCCGTGTTCTTCTGTTCCGTGTTCTTCTTTTCCCGTGTTATTCTGTTCCCATGTTCTTCTGTTCCCGTGTTCTTCTGTTCCGTGTTATTCTGTTCCCATGTTCTTCTGTTCCCGTGTTCTTCTGTTCCGTGTTCTTCTGTTCCGCGTTCTTCTGTTCCGTGTTCTTCTTTTCCCCGTGTTATTCTGTTCCCGTGTTCTTCTTTTTCCGTGTTCTTCTGTTCCGTGTTCTTCTGTTCCCGTGTTATTTTATTCCGTGTTCTTCTGTTCCGTGTTCTTCTGTTCCGTGTTCTTCTTTTCCCCTGTTATTCTGTTCCCGTGTTCTTCTTTTCCCCGTGTTATTCTGTTCCCGTGTTCTTCTGTTCCGTGTTCTTCTGTTCCCGTGTTATTCTTTTCCCGTGTTCTTCTGTTCCGTATTCTTCTGTTCCGTGTTCTTCTTTTCCCCGTGTTATTCTGTTCCCGTGTTCTTCTTTTTCCGTGTTCTTCTGTTCCGTGTTCTTCTGTTCCCGTGTTATTCTATTCCGTGTTCTTCTGTTCCGTGTTCTTCTTTTCCCGTGTTATTCTGTTCCCGTGTTCTTCTTTTTCCGTGTTCTTCTTTTCCGTGTTCTTCTGTTCCCGTGTTATTCTATTCCGTGTTCTTCTGTTCCGTGTTCTTCTTTTCCCGTGTTATTCTGTTCCCGTGTTCTTCTTTTCCCGTGTTCTTCTGTTCCCGTGTTCTTCTGTTCCGTGTTCTTCTTTTTCCGTGTTCTTCTGTTCCGTGTTATTCTGTTCCCGTGTTATTCTATTCCGTGTTCTTCTTTTCCCGTGTTATTCTATTCCGTGTTCTTCTGTTCCCGTGTTATTCTGTTCCGTGTTCTTCTTTTCCCGTGTTATTCTGTTCCGTGTTCTTCTTTTCCCGTGTAATTCTGTTCCGTGTTCTTCTGTTCCCGTGTTATTCTATGCCGTGTTCTTCTGTTTCGTGTTCTTCTGTTCCCGTGTTATTCTATTCCGTGTTCTTCTGTTCCCGTGTTCTTCTGTTCCGTGTTCTTCTGTTCCCGTGTTATTCTGTTCCGTGTTCTTCTTTTCCCGTGTTCTTCTGTTCCGTGTTCTTCTTTTCCCGTGTTCTTCTGTTCCCGTGTTCTTCTTTTCCCGTGTTCTTCTGTTCCCGTGTTCTTCTGTTCCGTGTTCTTCTTTTTCCGTGTTCTTCTGTTCCGTGTTCTTCTGTTCCCGTGTTATTCTATTCCGTGTTCTTCTTTTCCCGTGTTATTCTATTCCGTGTTCTTCTGTTCCCGTGTTATTCTGTTCCGTGTTCTTCTTTTCCCGTGTAATTCTGTTCCGTGTTCTTCTGTTCCCGTGTTATTCTATTCCGTGTTCTTCTGTTTCGTGTTCTTCTGTTCCCGTGTTATTCTATTCCGTGTTCTTCTGTTCCCGTGTTCTTCTGTTCCGTGTTCTTCTGTTCCCGTGTTATTCTGTTCCGTGTTCTTCTTTTCCCGTGTTATTCTGTTCCGTGTTCTTCTTTTCCCGTGTAATTCTGTTCCGTGTTCTTCTGTTCCCGTGTTATTCTATTCCGTGTTCTTCTGTTTCGTGTTCTTCTGTTCCCGTGTTATTCTATTCCGTGTTCTTCTGTTCCCGTGTTCTTCTGTTCCGTGTTCTTCTTTTCCCGTGTTATTCTGTTCCCGTGTTCTTCTTTTCCCGTGTTATTCTGTTCCCGTGTTCTTCTGTTCCCGTGTTCTTCTGTTCCGTGTTCTTCTGTTCCGTGTTCTTATATTCCCGTGTTTTTTCTGTTCCCGTGTGCTTCTGTTCCCGTGTTCTTTTTTTTCCCTGTTATTCTGTACCCTGCTATTCTGTATCATGCTTCTTTGATAATCATAACGTTAATGTTTTTAATGAAGGACAATATGTCACCAACAAATTAACGATAAGACACTCGTACATTGGCTGTGTTGATTTATAAGCATACTGTCCAAATGCAGCATGAATTATTCTGATCAAGAACGTAGTTGACAGCCGTTTTCCTGTTAATGACTGATTTTATCTCCGCAGAGTATCGGCAATGTATACACAGGATTAATGCAAGCTGTTGGAGCATCACAGAAAGTGTTCGAGTATATGGACCGTGTTCCAAAAATCATAAACAATGGAACTTTGGCGCCACATTTTGTTCAGGGGAGAATCGAGTTCAGAGACGTTACTTTTGCATACCCCACTCGAAATGACACTCCCATTTTGAAGGTGAAATGAAGGAGTATGATATATATTGCATACTTACTTGCCAGTGATCAATTTACACTGTACACCTCCCACTTTTTGTAAGGAGTTTGGAGTAGATTAATATTTCTTCCATGCAAATCTGACGTATGCGACAAGAGTTTCTCTTTTCATATTTGAAGCAATGTATTTCGTAAGAAGTTTTCCAAAGTTGTCTACCGTCCTTAGTAAATCAATGACAACGTTTGCTGGTATTTTTCTATAGAGATCAACGTGACGATAATCTTGAGGAAATAATATCAATAATATTTAGAATATTCAAACAGTATTCTGTTTTCCAAAGTTGTCTACCGTCCTTAGTAAATCAATGACAACGTTTGCTGGTATTTTTCTATAGAGATCAACGTGACGATACTCTTGAGGAAATAATATCAATAATATTTAGAATATTCAAACAGTATTTTGCACGTTCCAGAATGTGTCGTTCTCCGTGGCTCCAGGAGAGGTGGTGGCCATTGTAGGTCCCAGTGGAAGTGGTAAAACTTCGTGCATTAATCTCCTGGAACACTTCTATGAGGCATGCACAGGTTCAGTGTTACTGGACAGCCAGCCAATACAGAGTTACGACCACACCTACCTACATACAAAGGTATGATAAAAACACCGGTATATACAGGTCACGAAGTATTATGGGATCTCATACTCAAAGAAGAAATCAGCACGAGTATAAAGTGTTAGATTATGATAGAACCACGATATCGTACGTAACAAAATGTGATAAAATATTGATAATTATTCTACAGGTGGCTCTAGTTGGTCAGGAGCCTGTGCTTTATGCGCGATCACTCAAGGACAACATTCGATGCGGCCTTTCAGAGGAGCATTATGAGATGGAACGCGTGATAAGAGCAGCAGGTTTAGCCAACGCCCACCAATTTATCATGGAAATGAAGAAAGGATATGATACCCAGGCTGGGGAGAAGGGGCTGCAACTGTCAGGTAGGGCTGCATATTTCACTGTGTAGTTCCTGGTTATAACGGTTTTCTTTTACATTATTCATGAAGAAAAAAATTATAGTTAGGTGATATATACGAAATAATAATTATTAAGTATATTAAAATCTGAAGTTACAAAAAAGTTTTGTGTACCAACCGTTTTTTTGTTTTTGTTTTTGTTTTTGTTATTGCAAAAGGAGGACAAAAACAGAGGGTTGCCATAGCACGTGCGCTTATTAGAAACCCTGCAATTTTGTTATTGGATGAGGCGACAAGTGCACTTGACTCTGAATCCGAACATATTGTAAGTACCAAATTCACTCGGTAACACCTTTTCATTAATCTTGTACTACAATGTCAAGATCACTAATGCAATAGGGAACATCGGAATATTTCACATTGATTCTGCTAACACCACAGATCAATTATATTTTTGCTTATGATGGCTCTACTTTTGCTCTGTGGTCTTGTTAGCTCGTGTTGCGATAGTTGGAAGTGAAAACAATATGAGAAGTTTTGTTTATTTCTTATTCATTTCATAGGTTCAGCAAGCAATCTACAAGAACTTGCAAGGGAAGACAGTAATCATCATAGCTCATCGACTAAGCACAGTTGAGAAAGCTGACCGTATTATTGTCATCGAAAAAGGCCGATTGGTTGAGCAAGGATCGCATTCGGAACTCCTCTCTAGGAAAGGACTATATGCCAAGCTTGTTAAAAGACAATTGAAAGAAACTCGTTCATCCTAATGTACGAGTAAAGCTTATATATATATATAGATAAATAGAACTGATAACGATTACAATTTTCTGTGATAGAATTTTGTGTGTTTAAATATTCCTTGTTTTTACTGAAGCCAGGATTAAGTCTGCAGTAATTTGAGGTGATACAGGGTGCCACACGTAACATTGTAAGCTAGTGATAAAGACGTATTTGGTAGCTGTTATAATTCTTTTTGTTAACAGCTTTACTTTTACAAAGCTTAAAGCCAATATTGTTTGTTCAGGTGTCATAAATTCAAATTGTAAAATCGACGTACACATAAACATTTAAACGAGAACAAAGTGATTAGATATTGTAAGGTCGTTTGTGAAACATAGTGAGTGAATACATGAATATAGAATGTTGACCAGTTATGTTCATATAATTGTCATGCATTTAGGATTTAGGAAAAACCGAGCATTAGTCTAGTGTCGTTACGATAACAATTTCTGTGCCGAATCCTATCATTTGGAATGCATGACATACATAATGTATATGACTGTATAATTGAGTGGAATATTTTTTTTCAAAATAGAGGTTCCTGTCAACAACACATCTTGTCCGTTGTGCCAATACTTTATACATAATATATTTAAGTCAAGAGAATTATCAATACGGTTATATCATTTCTGTAGTTCTTAATGTCATCGAATCTCGTCCCGTGTTTTATTTAACATAAGCTCTTTCAGTCGAAGGTATATTCGATGAGCTATATGCATGTTAGCATTTTGTTTCTTTATAATGTTCATTACCATATCTATCTATGCCTAGTTTTCTAGGATTTTATGTATGTGATATTACCAAACTCGTTGATATATAAATCTATTAGATGTAGGTGAGAGTGTTTTTTGATAACATGATATTGCTAAACTTGTTGACATGATATGAACCAGTTGCTATTACGAACTTATATACCTGTGTATATATGTGTAAGACATGAGTAAATATAGGTCAGATATGATAAAACTACCAGTTAATGTTACTGGTTATAGTTTTTGCCATTATGATGGGGATCATTTAATGAGAGTATGTATATTTTACCAATTGGAGATCTGCTTTGTATTGTTACAACTTGCAGTCACGGAGTACCTGAAATGAGATTAAAATGTATCGCTATTGTTATTCTGACTTAGGGTTTAGTTTTGTTGTTTAATACATAAGATGTCTGGCATTATAATAAGGTATACCTCAGCCACGATATTTTTGTTGATTAGATTACAAAAATCTAAAATAGATATTTTGCATTGTGCTGGAGATTACTACAATTAATGTATTTGGGCAGTCTCGAATCTGTATCTACACACTAAAAGCAACCTTTACAGGTAGTGAAATTTCCATAGTGTTTACATGTGGTCATAGCGTTCAGAGTTGGAATTTGCGTGAATGTATGTAGTTTGTTATCATGACAGTATTGCTGCTTTTAAGACAGCTGTTCAGAAATAAATTTCTTCTAAGAAGTTGAAGAGTTAGTAATTATTAGTAATATTATTTGAATTTTTATCAATTTTTTGACAATCACATGTCAGAAATCAGGGGAAATTCTTTATTAACACAAATTTTATTTCTCTGTTATTAATGTAATTATTATGTAGTTTATGAATATATACATATATCTGGTTATATTTTTCATTACCAAACTGCTAAACCTGTATATCTCAAACATGACCACTAATTTCAGGAAAAATGCAAATTAACTGTTTACCTTATCACCAGTGTTGTGAGATCTTATTAATTATCTTTTTATCGTTTTTGGCTTTTGATGCCGACATGATCAACAAAAACATTGATGAATATTTGTAATTGCATGTCATTACTACGACATAAATGATTGTGTTTTAAGGTATGATTAATAACTCTAACCTGAACCGACCCCGTGACCATTATAGTGTCGTTATTGTGGGCATTGATCGATACCAAAATTATTATTCTGATTAAGGGATTGTAATTTATTACCGATAAGATTTAACCTAATATTGGCATCAGGCTGAAGGAATTTATATATAAACCTTGTCAGGGTATACCTTTATTATCGTGAAAATGAGTCTTTCATGCATACGCTACGCTATCACAATATATTTACATTATTTACATGTTGGATGGACCAAGATTTACATCGCCGATGTTGTCGATGAAGGAGAAGACGCTTACTCTTCCACAACACCTGGTCTTATTGTCCTTGAAGCTTTTCATATTCGATATTTATATTTCGCCATTGTTCTATCTAACTTGAGTTTAAGATGGTTTTCATGTCGGCATGTAGTTCAGCTTATATTTCGACAGAAGTGTGCATTTAGCTGTCGATCATGGCAGAAACAGACTAATATTTAAATCGTCAAAATTCTTTTATTACAAAATATACTTAGAGTTTGATACAAATACCAATTGATTCACAAAACTGATACATAAGCTTTAAGACACATATGGACATTGCTGATGTAAACATGTATGATAATTCGACAATGAGTCTGAGATAGAAATAACAATATAGGTTATTTCTATTCTTGCTATACGTGTTTACTGCTTTGGACGCTTACACGGATCAACTTCTTAATGTTGTCCTGGTGATATGTCTTGATTAAGGAGCGGATTGCTTCTGAATAAGGAAATTAATTACAACCATTTATAATGCGTTTTGAGCATGGCTGTGTGGCATGTTCGATCTTAATGAAGAAACAAGATTAGGAGTGAAAATCATTATATGACAAGATACGTACAATTGAACATGTATGGTTAGATGTGTAAGTAAATGGTTAAACCTGATCAAACGGGTCTTAATATAGCACTTTTGTAATTAGTCATAGCTTACGTATTTTGTATATAAAATTGTCCAGAATTTACATGAACATTCCAGCATATCCTGACATAACTTCTAGAAAGGTATCTATGTTGCTCCATCTTTCGACACCACTTTTTGTCGATAAGACATGGAACTTATACGTTACCGTGCGGTAAGTTAGTAAGAACATAATAGTCCTGGATTATTTGCTGTAACAGTTGCTGTTATTACAATCTACTGTAGTTAGAGTTTACGCGGGAAAACCCCCTAAATTCGCAATTTAAAAGGTCGTGCGCCTTATCAGTAACAACAGGACCGAGGTATACACGGTCACGCGCCTAAAGAGCCTCAAATTGAATGAGACCACCACTTGCTTCCGATAAATCCCTTAAATATAATTTGAATGACAAACGCCGTAGTAGCTTGATTTTTGAAACACAAGGCTATGTGCCTTAATAGCTGGAATCCGAGAGGGAACGCTTGCCCTCAATAGACGGCGTACTCTGACTACTTGGAAAAAACGTCTTCTTATCTTTCGGTGATGGCGAGTTCCCTGGAGTGAGGTTGAGGTCAATTAATGCTGGGGATATGCAATTGGCCATATCCATTGACAACGAATGTTTCCGCTTCCAAAGTGGAAGCGCAGACCCGTTCATCTGACGAGGCCTCGAGAGAAGATGCCCGTTCGCCTGTTTCTTTGTGACAATGGTAAAACACCTTTCCTGACTGTCATCCTTCTTTGGACGTATCTCTGATTTAGGTCGTGCATTGTTGTTTGTAGTTCCGTTTTGCATGACATGTCCATTTCCAGTCAGAAACTTACCTGAAAATTTTGTTTTCTCGCAGGCGTCCACTCTTGTAAGTAGGCGAGACGTTCTAACGAGAACATCATTGATGCGATGAACTTCTGCTTGTTTCTTCAACGTTAACGCATCAGCGCGGATTTCACAAGCTTCCTTAGATATGGCTATCGGTGCACTTCTGAGAATTTCATCAAGAGATGCTTCAAGTTTTGTCCTCCTTGACACAATATGTTCATGTAATTCTCGTTGGATTTTTTCCACAATTGTTGTTCCATGGACAAATATGCGGTCTTTTAGATGTGACGACTTGTTTACGTCCTCAGCAATATCCGTGATCTCCCGACTCATGTCGCGAACCTGATTTCGATACATGGCGATCTTTTCTTCCAGTAATTTTATCCGACATTCGAAATATTGAACCTGCGACCTGTAATTATCTGCCTTTATTCTTACTACATCGCCAACATCTTGATCGGAGCTACCGCGTCTTGTCATTTGACCGAAATTCTCTTTCATTTGGAGGTCTTTTTGAAAATCTGTCATTTTCTTCTTTTCCAATTCTAGCTGATATTGAAGCATCGACAACTGTTCACATTTCGTGGCCAGTTGCTTACTATTACTCTGCAAAGTTTCCTTCATTTCGTTCACGTGACGAACTTGTTCCTCTAAGTTCGCCTCTAGTTTGTTTTTCTCGTTGGATAGGTGCAGTTTTTCCATTTGTAGTTTTTGGCATTCTTTATTTCTTTGGTCCATATCTAGTTTTAATTTAAGGATATCCTGATTTAGCCTTTGGGCACGATCTTCGACAGTTCGGTTTTTCTGGTTATTTTGTTCAGCTAACGCAAGCTTCAAATCTTCAATCTTTGAAATTTGTTCTCCAATGGTATTTTCCTTCTGTTGAAGTTCATTCTCTAGCAACTGCTTCTGTGTTTGGAGGTCTTTCAAGGCGTCCTGTCCTTTCTCAAGATCAAGAAGCAAAAAGGACTGTTTGTGCTCCAGTCTTTTCTCACGTTGTTTATGAACCATAGCTAAACTATTGTCACTCGATTTGTACTGCTCCAGAAGCTCAGTCTTGAATTTGAGTTCTTTTTGTATTTCAGAGAGTTTGTCCTCAAGTTCAAACACCTGAAATAAGGGATCAAGCTATGAGATATTGTGGATGTAAGTAAACTTATTACCTAGTCATTCCATGTACGTTTACTGATACACCATGGAATTGCACAAATATGGAATATTGTACTACATAGGACATATAGTTAAGGATACTGAAATACTACGTAAGTTGTCTGGAACCTTAGTTTACCCAAATGAGACAACTTTTCCTGGTGAAGACACTGTGGCTGTGTCATTTTTCTCAATGTTTTACTAAACGTAACATCAATATATTCTATTATCTTCGTTTTATCCTAACCATAGTTTTGTTTTGATGAAAGTTTTAGAAAAAAAATCGGTAAAAATTAAGTTTAGTGATCTTAAATATGGCGACTAAATTACATACGCAACATTTTCATTACTGCAATGTCGTAACTATTAAGTCTAAACATTTGACGTTAAAGGTCTGAAATCGTGTTTAAAGGTAGCCACTAACCTGCATTTTCTTGATATAATTTCCATTTTCTATTAAGTCTAAACATTTGACGTTAAAGGTCTGAAATCGTGTTTAAAGGTAGCCACTAACCTGCATTTTCTTGATATAATTTCCATTTTCTGACCCCGTAATGTTTATACTCTAGATCATTTAGGTCAAACCTAATTCGTGTCGTGAGTTCCGCCAGTTCTACCGTACTATATTATACTATATAATCGACACTCTCACGAGTGAACAAAGGACACGCATAAAGGTGAATTACAGTTTTACCCACTAAACTAGTGATATTAAGAATATTTGTCAATCAGACAATACCATAGCACCATACGGCTATTACGTCTCGACGCGATGTGATACTACACCTTTGAGCTATAAGCTGTTTTGAGGTTATCGAGTTCAAAGACCATTTCTCCATGCTCCTGTATCAGACATTTGTTGAGGTAGCTGCGGAGGGCCTTCATTTCATCCTTTGTTAATTTATTGGCAAGGCGCCGATGTTCTCGGAAAAGCACTGAAATTATACAACGGGAAACGATGTAATAAAGATAATATTGACAAGCTTATATAGAAGTTAAAATAAATAGGGCAAAGGCAATTAAATTAAATTAGCACCCACTGCGTATACGGAAATAACTTATGAATAGAATATCTTAAATCATGGCAGACATTGTAATGCTTATTTGAACTTAGATATTCAGATTATGCATATCAAGGAGATTCGATGGCATACTGTCCATATTACAGAAGTTGTAATACAATTACAGTTGAAATACAACAGTACATTTAATTGGAACAATTACTTAGTGATTGGCATCTTGATTAATGATTAATAGGAACGTATAGGGTGTTGTATGTATGTATAGGTTCTGTGACAACAACATAACATCTGCCCTTATTATCTTATAAGATCATCATGCCTTAGTATAAAATATGTTTTTTCTGTATTTTTTTTCTGAGAATGTCAGGGATTTAAACGAATACTTCGGTATCATTTTGTTATATTCACGACTATACACCAGAGAAACAATTAAAAGGCCTCTGCTCGAAGACAAGAGAGACACATCTAGAGAACACAATTGAATTTTATTTCTTGCCCGATCAGAATAGCCAGGCCGCGTCTGTACTAGAAAAAGAAATATAATAAACATTTCTGGAAACAACCTTCAAAAGCATACTTCGTTAAGAAATAGATTGGGAACTCATAAAACGGGCACAATTATATTTATGACAATATTCATTTTAAGCTTCATAACTATTATTATTATAGTTACGAGGTTTTCTTCTTTTTTTTTTGTCCATAGAAAAGAGATAATTGCAGCTGCTCGGACAACAAGGCCCAATAGCTAAGCCCTCCCCTCCCTCCGGACAACAAGGCCCAAGGCCCAAGAGCTAAGCCCCCCCATCGGGACAACATGGCCCAACAGCTAACCCCGGACAACAAGGCCCAATAGCTAAGCCCTCCAAATCATTCTTTATTGTTTCACACCCCACATTTAAAAGTATAACACATTCCAAATATAACCTTCTCCATTGCAAACTTGACAACATTCCCAATTAGATCTGGATATTCGACTTAATTTAACAGGATATTCAACACTGAAATTTTATAGCAGAAGCCGGCAACATTATGACCAGAAACTATAACTCTTCAATAGTAATCATGATCTATCTGTATCGGTACTGTTTGTGATCAGTATTTCATTTTGGTGATTATGCCTTTTCACTAATGTCATTGCAAATTCATCAATCTGCAGTCTGACAAAAAATATCTAAAGTGTAAATTCTCAATGGAGAGCAAAAATGCTAAAACCACATTGTTATAAGACACAATGATTAAAAATAAATGCGAGTAGTTTAACCAATTAGCAAACGTTTGTTTTAAACCCAAAACGTAATGATCAAGTCTCCAGGATCAACAGTGCTGATGTTATCGTAGTAAATACTATACCAATAAAGCAGAGCCAAGCTGTACGATATGTACCTGAGTTACTGTGAACTATATTAAACTATACGATATGTACCTGAGTTACAGTGAACTATATTAAACTATACGATATGTACCTGAGTTACTGTGAACTATATTAAACTATACGATATGTACCTGAGTTACTGTGAACTATATTAAACTATACGATATGTACCTGAGTTACTGTGAACTATATTAAACTATACGATATGTACCTGAGTTACTGTGAACTATATTAAACTATACGATATGTACCTGAGTTACTGTGAACTATATTAAACTATACGATATGTACCTGAGTTACTGTGAACTATATTAAACTATACGATATGTACCTGAGTTACTGTGAACTATATTAAACTATACGATATGTACCTGAGTTACTGTGAACTATATTAAACTATACGATATGTACCTGAGTTACTGTGAACTATATTAAAAACGATATGTACTGAGTTACTGTGAACTATATTAAACTATGTGTACCTGAGTTACTGTGAACTATATTAAACTATACGATATGTACCTGAGTTACTGTGATACGATATGTACCTGAGTTACTGTGAACTATATTAAACTATACGAACTGAGTTACTGTACTATATTAAACTATACGATATGTACCTGAGTTACTGTGAACTATATTAAACTATACGATATGTACCTGAGTTACTGTGAACTATATTAAACTATACGATATGTACCTGAGTTACTGTGAACTATATTAAACTATACGATATGTACCTGAGTTACTGTGAACTATATTAAACTATTTGCCTTGTGACAATTTCAAAATGCTATAATCTCCCATAGCGTTATATATCACTGAACATTATTCATGGATTTGGCACATGACCTATTCTAATTTATATAATTGTATCAAACAGTATCCAATCTCGGAGAGCGACCATTAAAATTTCAATACTTATGAATAGCCGTCAACGCTATCGTAGCCGCGTCAGTTATTAATTATTATTATTACTGCCATACCCGTGTATATACCATAACATTGATACTACCGTACCCGTGTTTATAATCAGACATTAATACTATCGTACCTGGGTTTATGATTAGAATCTAATCCAACCGTACCCGTGTTTATGATCAGACATTCATGCTACCATACTCATATTTATAATCAGACAAGCCAGTAATTTTACTGTAACCATAGTCAAGATCAAGTATAATAACTACCATAGAGATGCTCATGAGCAGCCGGTTATACTATTGTAACACGCGTCCCTGAGCAAAAATTTCTATATTCAAGGCGTATTAAAGGATACGACACTTTTCAATATCGCTATCTGTTTTTGCACGTGTGAAAAATAGCCAAGAAAATACCAACATGAAAACGTAACCATAATACAAACACAAATTCCATAAACCGAGGGCAAAATATGAGCAAAACAAAGATTTACACGGAAACTTCTGACAAAGTACAAGGAGAATAAGACTATGTGTTCCGGAAGAGTAAGCGTCTTCTGCTTCATCGACGACACCGCCATGCAACCTTGATCAATCCAAGTAAATAATGTCACGTTCTCAAATGAGAACAAGGCATACAACAACGGAACCAAATGACAAACACACTAGCATCAAATACGTCCAGTTTCATATCGCACAAAGGTATAGAATATTTCTCAATGAGATCACTATGGCGACCATAAACTACATTTAGTTTTTTTGATGTAAATAACGATTCATTTTAATACATTTCCTGTTAAGAAGTACGATATATAGTAACTATCTAAATGCTGTATAATCATATGACACATATAGTCAATACGTGATCAAATGTTTTTTTGGTTTATTATAATTTTGTATTTCCGATGCTGATAACATCACATATTCATTTATAAGTATTTAACTGGTAGACTTATTTAAACATTATTCCTAGGCCAGGATGAGAGACGCCTCGCTAGATAACAGGCTAAATATGTACTGCATTGCACTACACCTTATTGTAGGATTCAGGTGAGACATTGATATGAGCTGGCCTATTCGCTGGCCACAGGAAGCTTAAGCCTCAGTTTGTGTCGTAAACAGAGTAAAAAATATCGAAACTTAACAGCATCCTCCTGATTAGGTTTAGCTATTACAAAAAATAGCCTAGTGATAAGAAGGAATATTGTGTTAACTTAGGTAGTGATATTGATTAGATACGGTATCCATGCCGGTGTTTCAACTACGAGGGGATTAGTGCCACAAATCTATTGATGTTATGGGGGATATTAGTGAGACGATGGGAGTCCGCCATGTTTGATTAAAACCCAATCTGTTACATAAAGAAACGCAATTCACTAGCTGCACGTCTCATTTTCAGCCTGAAATAAATTTGGAATTGATAGTTCGCCTCACAGGGACTCTGGCGGGTCAGATATGGTGTATCCATGCATTTCGCTTCATCAAAATATACTTCATTCCATATAAAAATCAGTTCAATGTAAGCAAGCCTTTTCTCGATGGGTGTATTTATTCATTTGTTTATTTTATTATTGGTTTTCTTACTTATCTATCCGTTTATTCATTCGGAGTTTTTTTAGTCAACATGCACAGCAGTAGAACTAATAACAATAATACTTTATATATACATTATCTACTATGCTTTTTTGTTATGATGCATGTCATGTCTATTGGTATCAATGCGCTTCACGCTGGTCTTTCTATCTTATTAAAACGGCTTATTCAAGGCGAGGATTAATGATATATTTGTAATAATAAGCTGTACTGTCATTTTCTACGTATAATAGTTTATCACATGACCCGCCTGTTATCTATATATAATTTCACCATGTAATGTTTTCATATGTCAATAGTGAATTTGTACTCTAGGTCGTTTTTCTTGCCAGCACTAGTCAGAATTTAATAATACGGACAATGGCGTTACATCATGAAAATGACAATAAAAATGGCTGCCTCTGTTTGATGAATAAAAAACTAACAGAAAAAGAAAAGCACAGTTTACACTTGTTTACACTTCTTATGTGATTATATGAAAATTTCGGTATTAATTTTTTTTTGCGAGTCAAATAGAAATTTTTGCAAGTTCGTTTTATAAAATATCATACACGAGTGAAATGAAAAACAGTCTAAGATCCTATATATAATCTATTGCAAGGTTTGTTATTTAATGAAATAATTACATAGCTGGTAAAGGAATATTCTTTCACTTTGGCCAATTACTTCAGATTTAATATGATGTTAGCAGAAGGAAATCAAATCTATAATATCTTTTATATATGATTTATTTGCTGAATGGCGAGGACATCACGCGAGAATTAAGACTTTTAAATATCTGTTTCAGACATGAAATTAACTCAGGCACTTCTACCAGTAAATCCTTATTTAAAAAACGTTTTGAATTATCTATTACAAAGAACCATAATCTATATATGGTTATATTTACGTTTATGCTTGCTCAGAGACGGTGTAAACAACGTTCGGTCATATTTCAGGGATTAAGTGAAAATCTATCTAATTACATGGCTGTCCTGACCAGGATATAAATAGAAAAGAATAACCCCTCTCACTTAAATGTCAAATCTAAATTTTGATTTTAGAAGAGTGTTTAGTCAGGTAAAATAATGTTTGATCAAAACTCCCACGGTAACAAAAATCAACATTATATGAATAAAAACACTAGCATGTATAACAGTTAATTTTCGTCTCTAGTGTCCTTTACCACAGACTTCTATAAAGTCACATGATGACTTCCATCGACAACTGGACCACTCAAATATCACTCTTAACAGTTACTTCAATGTTATACAAGATAAAAAATGGAAACATTAATTCACTACACTTAAATGTATTTACTTATTGGGATAAAATCCTTTTTAGTTATTCTATTTAAAACAAAATTGTAGCTGAATTCAGATAAACGAACCACTGGGAATCAAATCAATGTACAGGGTTTAAACATCTGTTATAATTGTATGACTTGCTGACTAATGCCACATGACACTGAAATTTCATTGGATAAATATATACCACGGAGGTTTTATATTATTACACAATACTTAATATCATTTTTATTGAAAGTGTCTTTGTTGTTGTAAACCAACAACAGGCATTTTAAATTCGTCTATACATGTATAATTCCGAAATAAACGTAAGTTGACAAACATATACTAATCATACAGGTGCTCGTTTTGAGAAATTATCTTGATTATAACAAGTATGTTATGGTCAGACAAGTTGTCATTTTGTCATTGTCACTATAAAACAACAATTATACCCGATTGGTGAGAGAAAACGAGGGATACGCGGGCTATTACCTACTACAAAGCGAATGGACGAGTGAAAGGTGACACGTCGGATTTCCCCACCAAGTGAGATCTTTGTAAACCAGGTGGGTTTCATGTGGGTTTTCTCTTTCTATTGCTTATCGAGACTAGTTGTCATTTTCGTGACATTATGAATGGTTCAGTAAAACTTCAAAGATAAAAAAATAAATAATGATGTGATTTTAATGTCTTTAGAGTTATATATTAAAGCGAATTTTAATATAAATGTAGTTTGTATCGCTTGGTGATCAAATCAAAGCTAACAAATCTCCGTGGGATGTGGCATGGTCTTTCAATTGCGTGATAATAACGTCTTTGTTGTTTTTGCTTTTAACATACACTATTTATCGAAGCTGTTCTAAAAGCGACCTCTCTGACACCTGTAATAAGTGCAGTCAGCTAGAATAGCTTTGTAATATGTTTAATTTATGTACCTATATGCGTTGTATACATAGTGGGGTCGGTATTAATCCATGGGTGTTAATAGTTTAAAATACACGGAAGAAACAGACATTTTTGTTCAATAAAATTTGACACAACTGTCAAGAGTTTCAGGCCAAAGATGTTTTTTTGTCGTTAATTGTAAGTACCATGTCAACATCGTTTTATCATTATACTTTGGCATGTGCAGTCTTGGTTTTTAATGAAAAAAATATCAGTTAAATCGTCACAAAACGGTTTTATAATTGAATCGAACTACTCAAGTTGAAAAATGAGGGGGGAATTTAACGGTTTAGCATAGAATAAACATCGCGTATTTTGTATTTTGGTTTGGGAATCAGATTGAATGAACTTTATAAGTAAAAGAAAGGAATCATACACAATATTATTGTAGGAAAATCACGAAGCATCACCATAATACCAATATTATGTAAGGTATTCAACTTTAAAGGTGATATAAGACACACACGTACATGTAAATAGCAACGTTCATTACAAATCTACAATTAGATACATTAGAAATAGATAATTACCTATACTCCATTATAAAGCTGTTTCGTCCTTCTATGACTTATCAACGATGTGGGGAGCCTTAATTGTTTAACCTAAAATACCACTGTGAGAAAAATAAAAAAAATATCGACAGAAAGTCAAAATCTAGATGTGGAGTTGCACGTGCCTCATAGTTCAAGAGATTCCGTAATTGGCCGATTGTGTGTAATAAGGTGTTATGGCAGATAAGACAACTGGTCTGAAGTTCCAAGCATGTATAAGATAAGACTACAAGTCTTAAATTCTTTAGATGCAGCAAATCAGCCATGAAATTCTGTATCAAGAAAGAAAAAACTCGTTTGGAAAGTCAAAATGATTTTGAAGCACTTTATTACTGCTGGTCAAGCGTTTGCGTAAACTATTGATAAGTAAAAAGAACACATTTAATGTAAATTAAGTAAAAGGTCAAACCCGCTGAACAATATGTAATACGTATGTATCATATAGTTGTTTCGAGCTACTTGTGACATGAATTAACGTCGATAACGGTATTTTATTAGGCACGATTTATCAGTTTTATCAATTAACGTAGAATACAATTTATTGATTCAATACAATTGTTTGATACATCATTTAAATTATTGTAAAATTGACACACGATTGACATCAGAACTATTGTGATTGAGATTGTCTGCTTAAAGTAATATCATACACAAACGTGTTTGGTCCAAATACTGAATGTCATAAAAAGTCTATATACAGCAATATTTAAATGCCGTAACAAGTACTTCACTAACTACTGATATTTGGCCTTCACTGTGTTTCAAAAAAAGGAAAATACCGACATATCTCGAAATCTTGATTCAAACCCAAATTTGATGAAACCTGTGCATAGTGTGAACAAACAATTTACACCAAGAATCCTGAAAAGTTCAAGGAGAATAAGACCAAAGGTTCCGAAAGGGTAGGCACCTTCTGCTTCATCGACGACAAACATCATTTGGAACTAATTTTTATTAAGTTATAAAGATTCCAGTAAAACTTGATATTACAATATTGTGTTCACGTGTAATACGCAGATGTATGTTTGTATGTCAAATAAATCTTACAAAATGACATGTTTTAGCTTTTGGTTTGTCAAAGTGTGTACCCAGTCTTCATATATGTAGACTTGAGAGTGAAGATTACTGTATTTTAAAATGAGGTGTAACACAATATTTAGTGACGTGTTCACCAGCTACCCGGACGCGCGTTTATACTGACTAGTTGATCGTCTTTATTAGAATATCTACTACACGTACGACAACTGGCAACGACAGTAACATTTCTTTAAACCAAACTAATTGGTTGTCAATCACCGATAATCAAGTCTAAAGATGCAGTGTTAATGAAGACAGTACCGCCACTCATCACTGGTCCTGAGATACATATTGATTTGCAAGGCACACCAGTGTCTAGCTGGTCACATATCGTACATCATTAAAATGATGACCAATTAATATCCACTGGCGTATAAAGAACAAACAGGGCTGGGATTGGAGGATTCATAAAATACAACTACAATATTCCATGTGTATTAATCTGAGATCGAGGTTATAGAATATTGATGGAACAGGACTCTTTATCGCCAGGTCGAATTATTAGATTCACTAAGATACATTTTGAATTGTTTGATGACAGGATATCAATATGATTGTGACTCAGCAACATATAGTTAGGTAAACTCGTCCTGGGATGGTATCAATGTAAACAAACAGATGATAT